GCTTCAAGGAGAGAAACAGCTCCTGGTTTGAGTGTCAGGTTATCCACAAGAACTCGCTCGTAGTCTTCCAGCAGCTCATCGACACGATCGTGTCTCAATCCAAAATGACTCAGTGTGGCAACGAAGCGAGCGCGACGGTAGTCATATGAGGTCTTTCCATCGGTAAATTCATCAGCGGTTCCTTGCTTAAGAATGATTCCGTATTGGGCTTGCAGGTCTCGGAGTGTAGTTGATGGGTTTTCGCTGGCGATGCATGTGAGAACGCTTGTGGTTGCTTCGCGGCTGGCTTTGCGAAATTCATGGAGAGTATCGTCTAGGTCGAATCCGAACCAAGTCCTCGCCTGCAGGATATTATGTAGTTGATCCCCATCTTTCTCGGTGGTATAAGACATTGCAGTGATATTTTGTGGTATCACGAATAGATTATTGCGAGAGGTGAGTTGGACATTTACAACGCACGCATGAACGATCAGTCAAGACGTGATCACCAGGCATAGGCTTTATCCACTTAGGGCCCTGATTGCACATAACACGTCAATTAATTGACAGCCGTGCTTAACTCTGCCTCATATGTCCCCAACTACTTCAATGTTTGCTCTTCTCTGAGCACCCGTTGGACTGGCACCTGAACAGTAGACAAGTCTCGGGTAGGCAACTTTTAACGGCAAAGGTGATGTTTAACATTGAGTTAACATCATCCTCTTCAGAGTCTGTCCTGGATCATTTGGAGGTTTTACTTATAATACCAGAAGCTACCTTCAAATCTTTTACACTTTTTCAAGCTGATTGTTGTGGTATTCAATCTTGTCGATAAAAACTTATAAACTAGTTTCAACCAAGTTGTCGGCGACCCGATCATCAACTCACAACATTCCAAAGTGCTTATCAGTCAACTCGTAGTTGAGAAACAGCAGAATCCCTCTAGTACTCCAATTCTGACAACCTGTCAACATCTTAAAAACATCTTGTACGATTCACAACATTGCGGTTCACTTAAGATCGGATTCATGTAAATGCAGCGGTGATGACTAAGCGTGCAGTAGCTGGTCAAAATTCCCCATCACCTCATGTGAGAGGTTGGGTAGATCAGCTCAACCCGAGGTTCAATAAACAACAAGAACGACAACGATTACAACGCCTGGCAAGCCAACTAAGGTCAAACTAATACAGAGATACCTGGAACTGTTCTGAGTTATTGAAAGACTCACCACATCACAATGCACTATGTCAGATTTCTGGGGCCACCCAAGGTGATTAAGAACCGCCGCGGCACCCTGGTCCAGCTGCTCTTCACCATCACAACAGACCTTGGCGACTCATTCCTCTTCCCAGAGAGGTTTCTAGACCTACAAGTCGTTGCCATCGCCGCTTCACCCGAAGGAAGCTCAACATGGCTCCTTTCAGACCCTGGACATCTCGACTGGGAACCCGGCATGCGCGTCGCAAAGCCAGCATTGGAAATGCCCGTCGCTCTTGAACGGGCTCTTGAATCTGGAATGAGAGTCCATGTCTGTGTCCGGGCATCAGAGCCTGTTCACACCGCGGAGAGCATCCCCCGCATTCTGGCCTTGTCGGCTGAGAAGATGCGGTATCGGAAGGAAGCTGCAGAGAAGGGCGCTGTTATGCCAGCATGGGTGCCTTTAACCCTCACACCAGCAAACAATGCTGTGTCTATTCGGAGGCTCCAACTGAACGACACACCCGAGGGGCTGGGAACGATTGAGATTGAGGAGGAGATCGGTGAGAGCATTGCGCGTCACATATGGGATGGCGGCGTGATAGCGACGTGTGCACTTGCAGGTATCGAGACTGCTCCCGATAGCGAGTCTAGTCAAAACCCCTGCATGAGAACAATGAAGAATATCTTCAGCCGCCAGAAGTCGATCCGTGTGTTGGAATTGGGTTGCGGTGTGGGCATCTTGGGCATTGGGCTCGCCGCTGTGTACCCCCGACTGCAGCCTTCAGGTGGCGAATGCACTATTCTCATGACTGATCTACCAGAAGCCGAGGAGCGCGCGAGATCTAATATGAAGAGGTTGGAGAACTCTCATCTACGCTTCCAAGAGAACCCTGTTCGAATGCTCTACGAAAATCTTGACTGGGAGGAGGGCAGACAAGGTCGCTTTGGACCCGAGGTTCGATCTGGACCTTGGGATCTCGTGATGCTTAGCGACTGCACTTACAATGTCGACATGCTGCCAGCACTCGTTGAGACGCTCTCAGCCATCCATGCAGCAAATCTGACCTACTTTCCGGAAGGCGAACCATTTACTACGAAAGTCTTCCTAGCCACCAAGCCTCGCCACGAATCAGAAGACGTTCTGTTTGAGCTTATGGACAAGGAAAGTTGGTACAGCGTTCACAAGCAAGTCTTGCCGAAGCCTGTCCTTGGTGGTGTGCCTCAATCTGTCGAGCTTCATCTATTCGACAAATCAGGGCTCAGCGATGGCAGGGGTGAGATGAGGGGGGAGGACAAGAAAGAGGAAGATAAGGGAAAGAAGCACAAGGGAAAGAAAGAGAAGGAGAAGGAAAAGGAAGCACAGGACTAGGCTGAAGCTGCAAAGGGCCTCAGGCAATTCATCGCAAGGCGACCGCATTCCAAAACGTCGATAGCCAATTGTCCAAACAATGCGCTCACCGTCACACAGCAAAAAACACCTCACTAGGCTACTGCGACGACTTTTGCTTTGAGGCTCGACTCTGCAGACGATGATGGTGCCGAAAGGCTCACTGTCATTGGGGTTACCCCGCGTGTTGTGTAACGCCCTCCAGCCCTGATATTTCGAGGATTGGACACAGTGATTGGAAATGAACCAGTAGGAGGAATGGGCGGGGTGGAAGATGACTTGCTTAATTGACCGGTGTGGTGGTGTGCTGATGAGTTGTCCCTCAAGCCCACGAACGGACCATGAGGCTCTGCGATGGCCTCAAAATTGAGAATCCCCGATCGTGTATTTAGCGACGAGTTTAAAATGTCGACCATTTCTAGTCGATAAAAATTGATACTTCATTCTTCAGGCAATCATGGCAGATACAAAGGTCAAGGTCAATGGCCACACTAATGGCAATGGCACGGCTGAAAAGACAACCACCAAGAACACCAAGTTATGGCAACTCCTCGCTTTAGCAAAGGAAGTTTCCAAAGATGTCGGTTCAATCGAAGACTTTGAGAAGTCAGCTGAAGAGCGTGAAGCTCTCAAGCAAGAACTCGAAGCCAAACAGGGCGAGAACAAGCGTCTCCGCGAATTCAACGACAAGATCGTGCGAGAGTTCTCCGACCACAAAGCGCAAGCCAACGCAAAGACAGAAACACTCTTTGCAGAGTTTGAGCAGAAGTATAAGACTTATGAGTCTAACAAGGCAGCCGTTGAAGCCATGGAGAGAGAGGTCAAGGAAGCGAGGGAGAAACTTGCTGCTGCGGAGGTGAAGGAGGGTCAGGTTGAGAATTTGAAGCAGAACCTGGCGGCTGCTGAGGCGCATTTGAAGAGCCACGCCTCTGAGATTAGAGAGATGAATGCGGAGTGCGAGTTGCAGAAATCGCAGATGGAGGCTAATATCGAGGAGTTGAAGGGGTGTAAGGAGAAGTTGACGCAGGCGCAGAGTGATCTTGGGGAGGGCATTTTGCGAGACTTTGGGACTGAGGAGGTCAAGAAGCTGTGAGTAATTTATTCACGTGAAATGGATTGAACTAACAAGAACAGGCGATCTGATCTCCAGGAGTTGTCGAAGAAGGTTCACGACTTTGTCAATGAGTATTTCAACGACCACGATGGTGCACAGGTAGGTCTCTGCGTTTGCTCTCTCTGAATTATACTGACTATTACTAGGACTCTGCGAGCGAGATCCAAGAACTCCACGCGCGCTTCCCCAAGATCCCACTCTCAACTCGCACTACCAAAGCAAGTGCCAAGATGCGCTGCGCTGTCGCTGACGCTGTCATCGCGGAAACACTCCTCTCTTATGTCTTTGTCCCCTTCTACGTCGCCAGTGACATGAGGGCTTCTGCTTCCAGCATGCTTGAATTCTTTAGAGGGGATGAGCGCCGAGAAACAGTGTATCGATCTCAAATCCTCGGGTCCCTCTCTGATTCTGAGAAAACTGAGACGGTCCAAGAGGACATTGTGCGCAAGGCGAGTAACGAGGTGCGAAGTACACTGCACCCGCTCGTCGTGGCGTACAAACAGACTGGCTTCTACAATGCTGTCCCGACGCTGTTCAGACAGGCCGTTACCCTCTGGGCTGATACGCAGCGCTCTCGCGACATGATCACCGCAGAGATGCCCGATGAAGAAGATTCCCGAGGTGCCCGCCAGTATGATGACTACGACGTCGGCAACGCGCGCAAGACAAAGGGAACTCCCAAGCCGACGGTCCTTGCGACTCTGTTCCCGCAGTTCGTCTGCCGCGATGAAGTCATCGCCGAGGGCGTGGTTCTTAGATCTGATCAAGCTGCTGTTCTTGAGGCGCTTGAGGAGGCAAAGGATAACGGAGGAGCGAATGGTGATGCGAAGAAGAAGCCGGGCACGCGAAGGAGATCTTCTGCGGAACCAAAGTCTCCGCTGCGCAAGTGACTCTCACGATTGTTTTGTATACGAAAGGAGGAGGAGGTGATTGATGTTTGGGTTTGAGATGATTGTACGTGGTAGGGAACACGAGGAAGTCGGGATTGCATAGTTATGTTTGACTTTGGTGCATTTTGGATGTAAATAGTAAGAAAAAGAAAAGGGAATAAAAAGTTGCGATAATTGTTTATTATTTTAGCCGTGATTTTGGTACAAACAACCAATATCGCAGCTTATCAGCGCAAGGAATGGTGAACACCTGGACTTGAACTTTGGGCAAGGTCTTCTTCTGTTCCCCCAAGGACCTTTACTGTAGAACCGTCTTCATTTAGGTCATAAGCTGTCGCGCTTGAATTCCTAGGTCACTTGGGTCGTTTCTCCAGATGAGGTCGGTACTATTGATAATCTGAACCTCTCTCCGCCCGCCGCCGACGTAGACTATTCCCTACTCAAATATGAACAAATGCTCCTCATCGTCATCTTTTTCACAGTAGCCGGTCCAATCCTCCATTCGTTCGTCGTTGTCTTTGGCAGTCTGCGCGGTACCTTGGTTATGACCAGTAGGGCCTTGCTGATCTTCTGCTGATCCTTTACAGCCTTCTGCAGTTCAGTTATAGTCTCCTGCAGTTCAATAACCTTTGTCGCCACTTGGGTCAGAAGGTGTCGTGCATGCTGCCCATGATCAACTGGGTGATTTCGCCAGGTAAGATCCGTGCCGATGTTGCCACCGTAGCGTTGCTCCATAGCTTGTTTGATGCCAGCTCCGATCGCGCTGCTCCCGAGCTTTTCGAGTCTGTATATGCCTACTAGAATGAACCAATTCTCGTAGGTGATGTTGTACCACCAAGGTCCCTTGACCTGCTTGTTCCATATCTTTTCAGCCAGCGCACAATTTAAATCCCTTAACGAGGAACAATTGGAGGGCGAGTCTGGTGCCAGCAGCTGCGGTTTTGATACGATGCTTAGTTCGACAACTCTTGTTGTGATGAAAAGCACCTTGTTTTAGGAGACTGACAATGTAATCTCGTACCTTTGTAGGCAAGCCAGGGGCATTCTCCTTGAACTTCTCGACGATGCGAATCGCAGCCTGTTTGTTGGTATCCTTCAATCCTTCAGAATCCCCATGGACAGGTCGTCAACAGTCAGACTGTTTCCAGGGTCATCGCTGAGGATCATGACATCGCCTTCATCAACTACCTCGACGGCGGTAATTTGTGTCGCCTTCGGCTCGGGGTCAGCAATTTCGTTGCTTTGCTACGGTTTATCAGTAAGTTTTTAGTATGCTACTGTCGTGGGATTTGGACACTCACACAGCGCAATGCAGAATTGTATGTGATCTTGCAAAAGTGAGTGTGAAATTGGAAAGCCGGTCTTCCCGCACAAATGGGATAAGTGCTCAGAGAGAATGAGGCTATTGGCGGGCATTTATGATTGTGCTGATTGCTGATATCAAGGTCCAGGAGTTGTTGCCGCGGGAGAGTTGTGGTTTTGATGTTTGCGTACCAGCTTGATTCCACCCCATTCATATCGTCATTACCTATGCAATAGAATCTGTTTTATTTAGATTGCGTGAGGTGTGCGTTCCATTGTGTTCCAAAAAGCTCTCTTAATTCACAAACCGTAGCTATTGTGCACTCCTAACAGCTGTTGACAGCTGCCTGCACCAGCAAACATCCCTGGGCTTTCTACCTAAGTACTTACCTAGGTACATAAACCATACGCCATCTCACACCTTTGGAATTTCTGGATTCTTCTTTTATTTATCTTTCTTATCTTCCTTTCTATTTTCATTCTCTATACACCCCTAACACATCTGATAGCGGTGACTAAGGAGGGCGTGCACTAGTAAATATTATACACTATCTTATATCTTTAGAACTTTCTTGATTCTGCCTTTCTCCCCTTCATCATCCCACTTTCTCTTCTCACACTCCTCAAATTTACCCGCATCAGTCAATGCCCAACATGTCTGACGGCGGTGACCACACCAAAACCCAGGCCCAGACTCGTTCCCGGACCAGATCCGTCCAAATCAATCCGCATCGATCTACTCGAGATGCCTGAAGGAGGCCCTCCGTCCACGCCATCTAAGAGAGCGTGAGCTCGCGCTCTCGAGGAGCAGGGAATTCACCAAGGCGTAGAATTCCAGAGTGCGCTACCTTGCGTTTAATGTTTTAAGGCTGCCCTCTCTGTGGCGTCAACAAGCATCGCAGCTCATCCTGAGCACTGCATCGATGTGCCAACATTCGACTGCAAGTTTCCCTTCATCAACTCGAAGAAGTGCAAGGCCTGCGAGGAGAATATGTGCAATCGGCATGTAACTTGAACTCAATTCAAAGATATTTATACTAACTGGGTTTATTAGCATCCCCGCCATGATGAATGGTAGCTACATGGATATCATATCCATTTTCAAGGCCATTAGTGGCATGCTGGAGCAAGGGGCGGATCGCTTCAAAGACGCCCATAAACTCGGTATCTTCAAAGCAACCGTGCCAGACTCGACGGAATCGAATTCCACCAAGTCCAACTCGACTACCTTGGTCCAGCTCGGTCAACGCTTCCGAGTCCTTGTCAACACTGACGCTCTTACGCACAATGATATTGTATGAACTTAGGGCCTGTCATGATGAAATTAGGGGCTCTTATGATGAGTTTAGGATATGATTTACTTCTATACTCTGCTTCTATCTATCTTCTCTTGGGCCATTACTTAGACAAGCCTAATACCGCTGCAAGCGTCGTAACACTTGACAGGCTATTCAATTGCAACTCCGAGGCGCTCCCAACGGCGTAGGATGTTCGAACTAGAACGAATCATCTCTCTGTTGTGATAATGTTTCCTACATCTGTCCAACGACATAAAAGCCATCACGTGACGCATACGTTTTATTCGTGCTGCAACCAACATCCATGGTTGCATAAGCCTTGTTAACGTGCGTTGGTTTACCGACAATTAGCTACCTTACGCATGCCAATTCTACCACCGCAATATCAGAGCTTTAACTTGGTTGGAGACCACTCCTACCTGTCTGTCAACTTGAGCCCAGAATTTACTCCTATACAATGCCCAACAATGGCCTTATGATTGTCTCGTCAGAGGCTGAGCTCAAAGACGTGTTGGACCAACTCCGTGAGCGGGAGGATGCTCTAATCCACAAGCTTGATGCCCCAATGAAGGGCAATAGAGAATTTGATCGGCATCTTGGCCGACTGGATAGTCTCCATGGAGACTTGGATATGCAGCTCATCGCAACTCAATACATCCATAGCGCAATGCTATCTACCGCTGGCGATACTGCTGAGCGGCTATCTACCATGATACGCGCGCTAGGTACGGAGAAGAGAAGGGTCGAGGCTACACTCATTGTCATAGAGCAAGTCATGGAGCTTAAGGCGTCTATAGCTGGCCTTATAGGCAGCATGGGTGCTCCTCAGGACTGGGAGGCTGCCTCTAACTACCTCTCCCGCGCATCTAATATACCTGAGGATATTGTTCGCGGGGAATTCGCTCTAGCCGTTGTCTCGAGCATTGAGGCCCCAGATCCCCCATGGACTACAATCCAGAATGCTCGCAAGAGCCTCTGTGCTCTATTCTTGAGGGAATTCAACGCCGCTAGCGAGCAAGGGGACGGTGCAAAGGTTGCACGATTCTTCAAACTATTTCCAGTTATCGGAGGTGGTGCGGAGGAAACGGGGCTGGAAGCCTATGGACGATATATCTGCCAAGGTATGGCGGAGGTTACCCGATCAGCTCTCGATGGGCCGTGCAAGGAACGTGACAGACAGAACGATTTGTTCTACGCAAATAAACTAACACAGATATTTGAGCACATTGCGCAAATCGCCGACAGCCACAGTGATCTGATAGAGAGGCACTACGGCGCTGATAAGGTCGTGAGGGTCATTGGAAGACTTCAGAAAGAGGTTGACGTGCAGGGCGGAATTATCTTGGATTTGTGGGACGATGAGCGGGCGGTCAACAGGACGATGGCTGACATTAAGAGTTATCCTTTCTTCTTTCTCTCGAAAAGCATGATGCCAGTTCAGAGAGGCCTCAACTTTGCACTGCGAGGCAACGAGCTGAAGAAAGATGACTTTGACTTGGATGTGAAGAAAGTCGAGGGGCTCTTTGGACAAATGACAACAATGCTAAGGAACTGGTCGCTTTACAAACGATTTATTGCAAATAAATGCAAGGTAGGAAGTATGTCCATATATACTATAATTTACTGACCACCAGCATTAGGGTGTTCTCGACCAAGAAGAAACACTACCGCTTCCGGAATTTCTCGAACAGTGTAATCTCAATAAGAAGATATCAGAGAAGCTCATCGAGCCATATAAACTTACGGCAACATTTCTCTTCCGGAAGTCAGTGGAAAAAGCTTTTGAGATGGATACTGCACCAAGTGGTCTCTCACTATCGAAGTCACACGATGGCAGTCCACCTTTCATTCTGCAAGCCGTAGACGACATAATGTACGTAGTGGACAATTTACTACAGCATGTATTGTCTACGGGAGATATAGAGGCGGCAGTCTCTGTCACTTTGGCTATCAGCAGAGTCCTCGAATCGGATTTCATCGCGATCATCCATAGGCGCATGAAAGATGAGTGCTATCCCAAAGCACCGGCTCAGGGCAGGTTTCCACAGGAAGAAAAGATCATCAGTTTCATGATTTTGATGAACACTCTCGACATGGCAAAAGAGTATTTGAGCCGTGTTTTAAGCTCTAGAGGGGGCATATCAGAAACTCGACCTGTCGATATGGCCCCATTTACACAAACACTCAAAGACTCCTTCCCATTTGGCAGAGATGCCGAGCTGGTTGCGAATGGACTTCAGAGGCTGAAAAACGCGCTATGTACTAAAGCTACAGAGCTTTTGAACGACGGCACCCGTGTACTGTTTGATGATATTTTGTGGCCCCGGATCAGCCTGATCCTCACAACCTCTTTCCAAGACGCGGTTTACGATGTGTTGGAAGGAGAGTCCCTGGATGAAGAGGATGCCGATGGAGAGACAATGCGGCAAGTGCCGTTGCGCTTCGAGAGCGGGTGGTTAGCCTTGACACAGCCACTGAAGCATGTCATGACGCCAAGGACATACACAGCGTTGGCCAGGTTAGCAGCTAACAAACTGGCAAGGGTGTTAGAGAAGCGTGCTTGGAGTTCCTCTAGCCGTGTGACTGCACTTGGTGGTTTGCGGTTAGAGTCGGACTTCTCTGGTATTATTAGCGTCATCACGAAGGACAACTACACCCTTCGCGAACCGTTTGCCCGATTGCAAGAGATTCTTGCAGTTGCAAACACGGAAGATGATGAATGGGATGAGGTTGAATCAGGGAATGACTCGTCCAGGCAAGAAAGTAGCAGGTTACTCAGTGACGAGGACGTGGCCAAGGCGCGCAAGATCGTGAGAAGATAATCGGCTGTAGCAATTGGTCAGTCATTATGGTATAATGTCTAAGTTGCTAGCTAGATGTGTTATTTACAGTTGAGGCTCGTGGCTGAGAGCTAAAATCAGCAGACAGAACTTAGTGAGAAGATAATCACTATGCCAATAAACATAGCAAGTTTGTCAACTGGACGATGTTCCAATGCGGAGCATCTCATGAGTGGCATCGAGGTCAGATATCGTTGGCCTCAACCTTCGTATGAGATGAGTCCTAAACTAGGTAGTCTAAATTCACACCTAGGAGCCTAAGGTTGGCAAATCTAATTCAAGACCAGAAAACCTAAAGTGAGTATAAAGTTATGTATTAAATGAGGCAACTGGTGTTCCTCTCTATGTATTGTTCTATGGTCAACTTTTCGTTCCCGTCACATATCCTGCAAAACCCATCGCATCGTCTATAATTAACTTCTTTACTCCTTAGCGGCGGTTGAAGTTGAGGAAGCGGCTCTGAAATAAAAGTTAGTGAGGTTCTCAAGGATGTCCCCAAATACCTAGGATAACTTACCGCCAAAATAATGATTATTAAGTTACTTGCGATGAAGCAAGCAAAGATACCCAAATCTCTCCAACGATTGTTGAAGGAGAGATCAAAGGTACTGTAAAACTCGTCGCCCACCTTGTACGCGCAATACTCGCAGTCCCTTGTGTCGTCATTGACAAGATAGCCACGACCGCCATTGGCGAAGAAGGGCTCCATGTACTCTCCACAAGTACTGTTAGAAGGCGAAGTGAAGCGGTTGAGTTCGCTTTGCTTGCAGACAACCTCAACCCCGTGGAGGGCAGTTGTGACCATTGAACTGATCAGACGGGTGAAGGGGTCCAGTTGGTACATCCAGGCACGCCAGAAGCCAGGAATTTGAGGCTTGGGGATCGTAACACCACAGAACAAGGCGAAGTTGATGATGATGAATGGATCAAATTGTGCTGAGATGAAGGGCGAGGGGGTGATACTGGCGAGAGCCTGTCCAAGAGTGACTGAGAACAGCTCGGTGATCAGAATGATGAAGAACTGGAATCCTGCTCGAGAAGGCTCAGTCTGAAATCCGGGCATGAAGTAAATTGGGAGATCTGAGATGTGTGAGTAATGGCTCAATTGGATTGTTGGTGTTGAGAACTTACAGAAAGCTACGGCACACATAATCGAGTAGGGCAGTTCAGCCAGGACAACCGATGAGGAGAAGACGAAGGGCGAGTACATCTTTGAAGACTGCTCTCTGAAGAAGAGAGCTCGCTTGATATGGAACATGACTTCGACTTGTGTGATGATAAGAGCGGGCAGAACTGTAACTTGGAACATGATGAAGACTCGGTTCTGCAGTGATGAACGAGAGTTATCAAGGTTCAAGTACATCAGACCAGTGACTAAGAAGAGGTTAGCTAAACTTGGACATTTCAGGGTAGATTTAGGCCAAAACTTACTAAGGGCGACAGCGACGTGGCTGAAGATTCGAGTGAAGATGTAGTCAGGGGATCGCCAGAAAGACAGGAACATGCGCTTGCAAACAACCATCATCTGATGCTGGAACGGAGAAGCATATTCCTTCTCCAGCTCAGGATCGTTGACAGTGACCGCGGCACCAGCAGCCTGACGCTCGCGCTTCAGACGAATGATGGTCTCCTTAACATCAGCAAACTCAGCACTATCCTCCCAGATATCGGCCCAGTCACGGTCTCCAACACGGGGAGTGCTTCCAGCACCGATAGCTTCAAGCATATACTCAGCAACGTTATCAGTAGGACCGGCCTCGGCACCGTGGCTCTTGAGATAGCTTCGCAGAACGTGAGCATCCTTGCCAATATCGCCAAAGTAAACGGTGCGACCACCACGCTGGAGCAGAAGAAGACGATCGAAGTTCTCGAACAAAGCGGCGTTGGGTTGATGGATAGTGCAAAGAATGGCCTGGCCTGAAGCAGCGAGCTTCTTGAGGAAGCGGACGATGTTGAAGGCACTCTGACTGTCAAGACCGGAAGTAGGCTCGTCGAGGAAAAGCATCAGCTCAGGCTTGGCTGCGAGCTCGACACCAATAGTGACACGCTTTCGCTGTTCGACAGTAAGACCGAATTCAGGGGTTCCAATGATAGCGTCGGCGATAGACTCCATCTCGAGAAGGGAGATGATCTCTTCGACATAGGCGTAGCGCTCTTCCATAGGCACGTGGACTGGCTGTCGGAGTTCGGCAGAGAAACGGAAGGCTTCGCGGACTGTCTGAGTAGGCTCGTGAACATCGAGCTGTTCGGCATATGAAGTAGATCGCTGGAAGGTCTTGCCTGGCTTCATAGCGTCGATGAGGATATCTCCAGAAATAACACCAATGTTCTTGCGAGCTGCGAGGACATCCAGAAGGGTAGTCTTTCCGGCACCAGAGGCACCCATCAGAGCGGTAAGCTCACCTGGGCGAACATAACCAAAAACGTTGTTGAGAAGTCGGCGTTCGCCTCCTGGCACGGGGACATCATAGTTGAGGTTCTCCCAAGTGAGTACCCTCTCAGACTTGATAGTGATTTCGGATCCCTCTTCGTTGGACTTGTCCTTGGTGCGAGCATCCTTCTTAGCCACGAGTTTCTCATTGAGAGCCTTTCTCTCCTTGTTGGGCTTAGCATACACCTTGGCAGCGTTTCCTCCCATGCCAAAGTTGACGAATTCTCCGAGGACGACGTTGAGGATCAGGAAGAAGACGATAAGAGACATTACAATACCCCAGTTCCTCCACAGATCTCCTACATGGTACGAGAAGCCTTGAGCAACGTAGTCGCTGCCAGAAACGAGGGTGGTACCAGCTTTTGAGCCAGCAAGCGTGCAGACTTGGTGGTTAATATCGGTGTATTCGGGACCAGCTGGGATCAGACTGTCTGCCGTGCAAGTCATTTCCAGGGATTTGAACTCATTCATCATCATTGCCGAGAAGCTCAGTCCAAGGGGATTGATCCAGAAGATCCATCGGAGCCAAACCTGCTCTTGTTCATATTGGATGATGTAGCCTGACGTGACTACGAACAATGTAATTACCTGGGCATGGTTAGCAATTGAACGTTTTCCAAGCCTCTTGTTTCATATGTTCCGCCTGGTGTAAGTGATAATAGATAGGAGATTCAAGATCAACTTACCACGACGGCAAACTTAGTAGCCTGATCAAAACCCGGCGAAATGCAACCGATGATTCTGAAGAAGAGAGTCATCGCAATATTTCCCGATAGAATCATGAGCTAACGTGTCAAAATGAGTTAGTTTATGTCTCAATATCCAATACCACTGGGGGAATATACTAACATAGAATGTAAAGAAGGAACCGGCGTCTCGGACGAGATTGGTCATGAAGTACACGATAATACTGAAGACCAAGATCTGCGAGGCCGCAAAAACCTGGTCGACGAAGATCTGAGCAATCCATAAAGCTGAGGGTCGATGGAACGCATATGCCTTGTGCTTGTTCACAATCGTTCTTCCTGTCATGGTTGATGCCAACTCTGAGAAGGCTTGGAACGCGTTGAATAGGAGGGCGACAAAGAGCAGACCTCCCTTGCTGAATGCACTGGCTGAAGTCTTTCCGAGATTGAGGTAGAGAGTTCCGAGGACAATGGCGATAACGATGCTGCGGAACCATCCAACAAAGAGGTTGAATCGATCCTGCAGCTTAAGAGTGAACTGACGCTTCATAAGGGCCCAAACCTGCAGATGGAAGCCAACTTGGTAGACCGAACGCTTGGATGTTCCACGCTTTCCCTCCTTCACAGCGAGCTGGAAATTGTTATGCGTTTCCTCTTCGGATGCGAGAGAAGCCTTGTACTCAGCCATCTCAGCTTCCAAGGACTTGAAGGCATCGGATTTCTTGAAGGCCTGCTCAAGAGTCTCAGGGTCATGAGGGGTGTTTTCCTCGGAGCGGCCCGGGGCGTATTCTCTCTCGAAGGCGTCCGTGCAGCCGGTCAGGTAGTCGGCACTGGTCTGACGGGGACGGGGGGCGAAACCGAGGGTCTCGAAGTAGTTACGGGCAGAGGCAGCGGGACCGAAGTAGACCTCCTTACCGCCGTCGATAACCATGACTTTATCGAAAAGGTTGTAGATGTTCTCGGAAGCCTGATACAAGGAGACGAAAGTGGTGGTCTTGTACAGGTTGGTCTGGATTCGCAGGGACTTCGCAAAGTCGAGAGCAGTACTGGCGTCGAGACCTCGAGTGGAGTTATCCCAAGAGAAGACAGCACCACTGCAGATCATAGCCTCTGCGATACTGACTCGCTTTCTCTCACCACCACTGACTCCGCGGACGAAATGGTCACCAACGATGGTGTGGCGGGTATGCTCAATGTTGAACATCTTGAGAAGCGTGGTGATAACACTTTCCTTAAACTCCTGCTTCGACATGTTTCCAGGTCTCAACTTTGGCATCTTCGTATCAAGAGCAAAGCCAAGCGTCTGCTCAACAGTAAGGGTAGGGTGGTGAATGTCGTCTTCGGCAGAGTAAACAGCTTCGCCACGGTACTGGTCGAATTCGGTGTTCTTCCATTTTCCGTACAGAACCTCGCCCTCAACTGCAGTGTAGCCCCAGCGCTGGTTGGCGATGGTCTTGAGGAAGGTGGTGCATCCTGAGCCGGGTTTACCTAGAACGAGAACCATCTCGCCAGGCTTGCAAACACCCTTGAACTTGTCGAGAAGGGCGACCTGCTCGGGCTTGGGTCCGAGACCGAGCATTCGAATAACAGGGGTGATGACATCGAAGAAGTTGACGAAAGCATCGGGGAATGTAGGCACAAAATTGGACATGCCACCATAGCCCTTGACGGTCAGGTCATCCCAATAGACACCAATGTGCTTGGACTTGATGCCAACCTCCTTCTCACGATCAAGACCGCCGCGAAGAGCAGCTTCAAGATCAAAGATGGACTCAACCTCATTGTCTTCAGCATGAGCATTCTTCTCAGGATCGCCAGCGCTGGCTCTGCTCTTTCTCCTACTGGCTCTTGAAACGCCAGTGAAC